GCATGGTCAATGATATAAAAATTGCATGGGGCGTCCTATTTGGTCGCCCCCATTTAACCTAGTTTTAATTTGTACCCACTTTTTAAACAACTTCAGTCCCCTTTCTCCTTCTCCTTCTCCCAATAATCTCCATATCTCTTCGGAACTTAATATTGATGTAACAATATAATGGCTCGATTTATCATGTGTTTCATTGGTTTAATTTTTTTACTAGTCTATTGTGCACACAGTTATGAAGCAAGAAAAGTACTCTTGAACAATATGGAAAAGAAGAAGACTGATCCTAATTATCCTTCTCAAGAAAAAAAAAAAAGCAAAAAAGATTTCATGCTTTAAGTTATTATGTTGTACTGTATGAAATGTCTTTTGAGCTTATGGGTGAATTAAGTACTGATGTTTTCCTACTTCATTCTTGTACAGTTAAGAATCTTGTTCTTCTTCTCTAATTTTCATATGGAAAGTCAGTTAAACTTCAACTCTAAGAAGGCTGAAGTTCGCCAGTTACAAACAAAAACTTCAGCTCTAGAGCTGAAGTTCGACAGTTACAAAACAAAAACTTCAGTTCTAGAGCTGAAGTTCGCCAATTACAAAAACAAAAACTTCAGCTCTAGAGCTGAAGTTCGCCAGTTACAAAAATAAAAACTTCAGCAATTACAAACAAAAACTTCAGTAAATAGAGAACAAAACTTCAGCTACTATGCTTAAGTTCAGCAACTACAACCAAAAACTTCAGTACATTTGGTTCAACACACTTGCTACTTCAGTCCCGTCTACTAGAATGCTGAAGTTTTGCGTGATTGTCTTTGCTACTTCAGCCTCGTATGCTGAAGTTACATGAAAAAGTGGGTATGCTTGCAATTTTTTTTGCAAAGCAGACACAAGTTAAAACGTGACCCAAAAAGCGGGTATAGATGCAAATGCCCCTAGTTGGATTCTTGTACAATTTACTTTATTTTTATTTCTTATTTTGTGTCATGTTTACCTTATAAGACTGCACAAAATTCACTAGTCCTCGTATATATATAGAGCTATCAATATAAGTTTGGCGTGTTGAGCAGCCCAACTTGTGATTTAGCAGGGCTGGGCTAGAATTTTTGGAGCCCATTTAATAACGAGGTTTTTAAGCCCGACCCGAGTAAGCTCGTGGCCTGTGAGGCTTGATTGAGGATGGGGTGGGCCGGCCCATGGGCCTAATAAAATATTTATTTAAAATATGTAAAAAATAAAAAGTATACCTCTAGAGATAGAAAGTTAGAATTAGATATTTACTAAGAGGAACCAAAACTTGATCTTGAGAAGTTCCAAGAGATGGATGTTGTCATGTATTGGAAAGACCATTCTATAAAATATTTCGATCTTTCAGTGATGACGCGTGATGTACTTAGTAATCCTATTACCATTGTAGCGTCGGAATCAACATTAAGCATTGGTGATGTGTTCTTACAAAGTACAGGAGTTACATTTATTATGAAAATGTTCAAACACTTGTTACTACTCGAAATTGGCTGCACAACTTTTCCCAAACTCAAACTGGCAATATGTTTTATGTGAATTTGAATATTATTAATTTTTTAAAATTTAATTATTCTTAAGATTTAACTAATTAATATTACATATGAATTGTAGATATAGATGAAAGTGAAGATGTTAAGATAACCTTGTCACAAGCAGATTCAAATGTGTTTGCTGAAGATAGATTTGTTGGATATCTCATAAGCATCATGGACGTTCTCCTTAATAGTTTGTTTTGAGTTTTGACTTTTAGTGAATGAAATATAGTCTTGTCTTTTACCTTTTTTTTAATGTTTATTGTGATATATTGGAACAATATAAAAAGTTATTAAGTTTTGCAAAAAATTTCCAATAAGATATTTTTCTAACTTTTAAATAATTATCTTTTTTTGGGTCAGAACTTAAAGAAAAAAATATAAAATTATATTTTTAAAAATGATGAGCTAGCCCGTGAGGGCCCGCGGCACACATAGGGGTGGGATTGGCTGACCATTATAAGACCTATCAAAATGGTGGGCTAGCCCAGTCCAGCCCGTCAATACTAAAGCCCACGTGGGCTGGCTGGGCACTATATATATGCAGCAGCTATGTCCTCGTTACTGCCTTGATATTACGCATTAATGAGCTTAAAACTATTTTTTTATACGTTTTTGCGCCAGTACACAAGTAATCAGCAATTGATATATTCAACTGAAAAATAGGGTAGAATTATCTGTATTACCTCACTGTTTGTATTCAATCGAATTTCCAGCCATTAGAGCACTATTGGTTATACTTTAATCAGCAAATAACACCAAAACATAGCTACTTCAAGTATGTATTGGGCTTGTGCATGTACGAGCCATCACCATCTAGTATTCTTCGGTTTGGGCGAATGGAGATGCAGTTCTTAATAATAATTTGAAATTATGATTCATGGACTGGTATGAAATTAGGTTCTTTTTATGAATTACACCCATATCAAGTGTGTTCCTAATCCTGTACAATCTTCCACACATTTTTCATAAATTTATCCTCATAATAGCTTCTAATTTTCCAAAAATATGAGGATGCTAGTTTTTCTTATTAGATGTTTGAATGGTTCATTTTTGGAGGAAACACTTTGCTATGGAAACTTACAATTTAAATAGAAGAAAATGATCTTTTCAGAACTGTTGTGTGTTACTTTTTCAGATTTCTTATGTAAAAAAATAAAAATCTCTTGTAAAAAAGACAAAAAATAAAAAGTTTGTCAAGGTCTAAAAACACATTTGACTCTCCATCTTGTATAGTCAACATTTGGAAGCCGGTGTTATAACTATTGATATTTGGTAAAATTAGACTGACATACTGATCAAACCTAGTTATGTATCAAGTTTATCTGAAAATTTACTTAAAGTAATAGCTCCAATTTTGTAGTTAGATTAATATTTCTTAAAAAGGAATCTAAAGATACAACTGTTTCCTTGTAGCATAAGCTGTTTGTCTCTCTTTAATGTGGTGTTGATCTTTTTTATGTTGTATCTTGTTGTACTTTTGGAGGGGCATCTGGAAAAATATTCAAATATATCAAGGTACATATACAGTTCTGTAGAAGATGTATCTTAACCCGCTACCGACGATTATAGGGACATCCACTGCAGCTAATCTCCATTATTTACTGATATTCTGTTTGGCCAAGTTGCAAAAATCAGCTTATTTTAAGAAGTGTTTTTCTCAATAGTACTTTTTGTAAGAAATAGTTTGTGTTTAGCTAATTAATTTAAAAAACACTTCTGAACAACAATTAGTATTTGACCAAACTTTTAAAAACTGCTTCTAAGTGTATTTTTCTCAAAAGTGCTTTTCAAAAAAAGTGCTTTTGGAAATAAGCTACTTTTTCTGCTTCTGTTTCTCCTCAAAAGCACTTTTTTTTTTCATTCTAAAAGCTTGGCCAAACACCTCAATTTTTTTTTTTTTTAAAAAATACTTTTGGCTTTTAAAAAAAAGCACTTTTGGCCTAAAAAAAAAAAGCTTAGGCCAAACAGGCTATGAGTGCCCGCCCTCGCAAGAAGGGGGTATTTGCATCTATACCCGTTTTTTGTGTCACGTTTTAACTTGTGCCCGCTTTGCAAAAATTGCAAGCGTACCCGCTTTTTTGCATAACTTCAGCATACGGGGCTGAAGTAGCAAAGACAATCGCGCAAAACTTCAGCATTTTAGTAGCCGGGCCTGAAGTTCAGCTCTAGAGCTGAAGTTTTTGTTTTGTAACTATCGAACTTCAGCTCTAGAGCTGAAGTTTTTGTTTTGTAACTATCGAACTTCAGCTCTAGAGCTGAAGTTTTTATTTGTAACTGGCGAAATTTTTGTTTGTAAGCTTCAGCTCTAGAGCTGAAGTTTTTGTTTTTTAACTATCGAACTTCAGCTCTAGAGCTGAAGTTTTTGTTTTTTAACTATCGAACTTCAGCTCTTATTTGTAAGCTTCAGTTTGTAAGCTTCAGCTCTAGAGCTGAAGTTTTTGTTTGTAAGCTTCAGCTCTAGAGATGTCTAATCAGTTCACAGGGATCATGGCCATTTCATTCGTTCAGCTTGCACACATCGACAAACTTTTGCACTGCATTGTGGTATTGAGTTCCCTACGACATGTAATAGATGAACAGAGCTAAAGAAGAGAAGAACAAAAAGAAAAGGAAAACCAATAAGCACCAAGCCTTGTTGATATATAAAAGAACGGGAAGGATGGGGGTGCGAGGTTGAAGGGCAGAGTAGACAACCACCCAACACACAAAAATAATCTACTCTTTATTTACACAATCTTTGATATATGCATCTACATTGAGTTTTCGATGCATTGATATAATGTAAACATGCAATTCTCTAGGGGAGTGAACATTCTGTTAGTTTCCAAAAAACAGAAATATATTTTTATTCTTGTAATTAATCTAAACAGAAAGAACATCCACAGTATTGAAAATAAACTGATGGTGGCAAAAGATTTCTCTTTCTCTCATTATTGAAGTTACTTTTGCAGAAAAAGGAGAAGGAGAAGCTTGAGAAAGAAGAGGCGGATATAACTTTGAGGAGGAGAAGGAGAAAGGGGGCTGAAGTTGTTTAAAAAATGGGTAAAAGTTAAAAGTTTTTAAAAAAATGGGTATAGATTAAATGGGGGCGACCGTACAATTTTTACCGCAAGAAGTCATTTGAGGCTCCACAATCCCAATTTAACTCTTCAAGCCCTTTCTCCTTCCTCTTTACCTCATCACCTATGCCAAGCCCACATGTTTTCTTGGTAGTAGATTACCAAAATATGACTGGCAAATATATTCTTGCTGGGAAATTCTAATCTACACTAGCCCATTTCAGTGTAAGGGGGTGCTACTTGCTACACTTTCTGCAATAAATGTGTGCAACAGAGAATTTATCCATAAAACGCCATTTTCACCTAAAATTATGTTTCTTGGGACTGCTAGTGGACCAGCTGGCCTTTACACAAACACAAAATGATGAATCTGATTCAAGTATACCAGCTATTTCAAACATTTCAAGGTGCACTAGTTGAAAATTTTGTTTGTTGGATCAAAATCCATTTCCAGCTTCAGTTGTAATTGAAATCTGCAATACTACCACAAGATGTACAGTTAACAACACATTCTGCAACTTGGTACAGGTTCAAACATGAGAGACAAGAAAGGTCGGTCCTTGGACCTCTTCTCGTAACTGTCCCTTTGACTAATTGTGAAATTAAGTTTGTTACATGCCTGAAATTGACCTAAAAAGGAATCAGAAATTCATGAGACTACATATGTAATTCAATTAATCCTTTAAGGCAACTTTTCAGACTGAGTTTATGCGGATAGATTTACTGATAGAGCTTCTTTTTGTCCAATACTGAAACAGGTGTAAGGAGTTTCCATCAAATCATGATATCGGGGTCAAGCGCTCCCCTCCTGCTTGAAGCTGTGCTGCATATACATGGAAACAATATGTCATCCACAAATAGGAATATTTTAGAAGTACATTTATAAAAAGCTTGAAAGGTATACTCCCGTCAAAGAGAAATGCCTTCATAATTTGACATCGTGAAACTTCATGTAGTCTCTCGTCATTAACAATATCAGCAAGCCTCTGACACTCTATTATGTCTTCAATCATTTATTTAATATCTTTGTTTTCCCCATTTTCTATCCAGGAAAAAGAAAAGGTGACATAGCATGGTAATAAACTACCATGGGATAATTAACGTCTATAATCACCAGATTTAGAATACTGTAGGAACACAAGGGTACTTTCTTCAACAACCATTTTCCTTTTTTTATAGGTTCAACGGACCGCCTGCTGCTTCATCTAGGAAAAATATTAAGCTCAGGTCCTATAATTTTCCTGATTATTCTATTGCATAAAGGGAAGACAGACATATACGAGATCATATCTTCACAATGCTTGTAGAGCTTCCAAGGCAAGAGGCACTTTTTCACCTGCCACTGCCAATTTAACTATCCTGCTCCACTATTTCCTCCTTCAAGGTGTGATAAATGCACCTTTGGCTGTCTCTTGAGAAAAGCACTTTGTGGATCCAAATTTCCATTTTGTACTTTCCAACGGAACCAATCTTGCTCTATTTGGAGGATTGCACTGTTGGATAGGTAAAACATTTGGTTTGACACAACCTGAAACTTCGGCTCATATTTATTTTCATTATCTAATCTCTTCTCCTTTCTTTCAGATGTTATGATAGAACAGAATTTATATTTCTAATACTTGCAAAAGATTCTTCCCAAGCACTGCAGATATCTTGCCTACAATAGTACTTCCTCGCTAATATTGCTACATGAGAACTCCAAATACACACCAAAACTTACAAATATTAGAAGCCTGGTTTATTTGTTATCTAATATTCCCTACAGATTATGTTTAATTGTATGTTTAATATAAAGATACAATATGTTTCAGGCATGTTTAATATTCCCTACAGATCTAATTTCAGGCATGTTTAATATGTTTAATTGTTATCTCCTTTGATATAAAGAGAGTTGAGCTGGTAGAATCGGAGACGATGGCGAGAATTTTGATGCTTACACTACAAAAAGAATGACAGACTGACAGTGAGAGAAGGGGTTTAAAGATAAAATAAAGAATTTAGCATATGATTTTTGTTTCTGTTTGATATTAGAATATCTTATTACAAAGAATTTAGTATTTTGCTTTAACCAGTATTTTGTATCGGTGCTTTAACTAGGATCTCATTACTGGGTTCAAGGGTCTTTTGCTTCTTCTCGCGAATTTAATTTCTCTGGTAAGTCTTCATAGGAAACATATTTTTTGTTTTCGCCCTGTTTCTTCTTCTTCAGAATATAGATCCATTACTGCTCGCAAGAGGAATATAGATCTGAAGTCGACGACGCCTCAGTTCGCTGCTCCGAAGCAGAATTTTTCCGGCGGCCTCCGTTCCGTGAAATAATCGGTGGTCCTGCATACCGTCGAAACTGTGAAGATTTTAGCAGAAGCTTTTCAGTTTTTGCTTTGCTCCCTTCCGATCTCGCTTTTTGGTCGAAGTTTGAGGTTTGGTTGAGTCCTCGATGCTCCGGCCGTCGTGGATTTTCATTTCCAAAACCGAAATTGCTAGCTTTTCTGTACGTAGCAAAAGATTTGTTTGGTTTGCTCTGTTTTCTTTGGTTTTACTTACTATTTTCAGTTTTCCTTTACTAGCTTACAACTGCAATTTAATGGTAGTAGTTATGCTTTAGATT